GCTCCGGGCTCGCGGGACCGCCGGGCGGGCAGGACGAGGCGCCATGGCGGCCGCGCTGGGCGGAGGAGCAGGTACGGGCGGGGCGCGGGGCTTCCGCGGGTGGTGAGGCTGCTGCGGCCTCGTCCGCCCTCCTCGGCCTTTGTCCCCGGGGGCCGCTGCCGGCCCCTTCGCACTTCTGCTTCCAGGCGCCCAAACAGCTCGTACCGCTGCTTTCCCGGGCCGGCCCCTGCTGCCGCTCGGCCGCCGCTTTTGTCCGTAGGAAACCGAGGAGGCGGCCCGGGGTGTGTGGCCGGGCCAGACGGAAGTCTGTCGCGGCCCAGTCGCTTTTTCTGCGCGCGAGTGGAGTTGTGTCAAACCGGCCCCCCTGGCCACCGGTGCTGCTCGAAACCCCGGGGCCCCGCTCCGCTGGAAAAGCGAGAAAACCATGTTATCCTAGGAGTTAATGTTAGAAAAGATTTGCTGGCAGGGAGCAGCTCAGTGGTTTAGGGAATGGATCCATGAGAGTGTGTGATGTTGTGGTGGGCCTTGCTTTCACTAGAAGAAATAATTTTGCTTACAGCATTTTAAAAAAAAACTTGAAGTTGGCTGATGCTGGGCTGGACACGGGCATGGGTGACTGGGGCCTAAACAGAAATTGGTCCTGAAAATGGTAACTCTTTGATGATTATCATTATTATTATCATCCCCTCTGGCAAAGGGGGGCCTGATACTAAAAGTTCACCTGGCGCCGCTGAGTGTCTAGGTATGGTGCTGCTGACTAGGGACAAGGTTGTATTATGGTTGCCATTGCTGGCTAGTTTTGGGTAAATACTGTTGGGATTCTTGATGAACATTTTACAACTGTCAGAGTGGTGGGAATGGCTCACCCTTCGAGTTGGCTGGTCAGGTGATGTGATGTTGATTGTGATTTGCTTAGTTGTTAAAAATCATGTAAGCATAATTACATTTTTTCTAGTGAGGGAAGCCCTAATATGTTAACACCGTATTTACTTGAATACGAGTTAAGGTTTTCTCCTTGATCAGCATGGGAGAAAAAGCCCCACATCTTACATTTGCATGCAAGGAAACCTCATAAAATACATTATCTTTCATTTAAACTGCTACCAAAAGCAGCATATGCTCAGTAATGGAAACCAACTGTGAATTTGATTAAATGCAGCCAGCACTGAGAGAGACTAATAACACATGGTCCATATTGGGCAAAGATACTTATGGAAACTCTTTTTGTGTGGCCCTTAAAAAAAAAACAAAAAACAAAAAAACAAAAAAAAAACCCAAAAACTCCCTCCCCCCCCCACGAGGGAACAAGCAGCAGGCCTGGAGGTACTGGAATACCAGGCCTGCACTCAAAGAGGCCGGAGCAAGCTCTGACACCCTCCGCTGGTTTTACCACAAGAATAGGTTAGTGTTGCTTATCTGAATAAAATATACTGTCCATGTTCAGTCTTAGCATCCACTCTGTTTCAGGTCATTGTGAGCCACTGTATTGCATACCTTTAAACTTCCTCTTAATTCCCACAGCTGAGTTGTCCCTTTCTTTCCCATTTCAAATTATTTCTGTTTCTTCACCAAGCTTAAATGTCTGACAGACCTCACCAAAGAGTTCAACCAGAATCCTTCTGTTTGCCCTTCTTCTCTGCCTGTCGCACATGATTATTGTGGCCCTTCTCCCCCTGAGGTAGAACTGGACTAGATTGCCCTGTGCCTCAACTACATATACATTTTTGGAGGATACCAAGACTTGTGATACAAACACCTGGCTCCAGTCATGAGATCAGGACTAATTAGCATGTTGATCCTTTGTGGAGGCTATCTGGAGTAAGCACACATACTGAGCAGTGCTGAGCTGTGGGGCCATGGTGACTTGACTTGCTGTTGACTGTACTGATGTCAGGCCTGATGATCTGTATGGTAAATCATGAGCCTTTTGGCTTTGGGTTAATGCTGTTAGTATTGTATATGCTAGTTTGTATTATATATAAGTAGATGCCAAGGTGCTACTTAAAAGTTGGTTTATTGAGTGCTTGGTCTAAAACTTGCAACATTTTTAGAAAAAGTAAAATGCATCAATTCTGGGTGAATTAAGTCTGTGGGTACTATATGGAAATTACTATGGCTATGCTTATTTCAAGGTCTTTTTTTTCCAAACTTGTTCCTCACTTCCACATGCTCAGAGAGACCAGGGTCTGACAGTAAAGAGAAGGGGAAGGAACTCCAGGGGGAAAAAGTTGTGGGGGAGGGGTAGAGAGCAAAGGGTATACCTGATCCCTCTCACCCTCCAGATTTATTTTCCCCTGTGTATCAGTGGGCGGGGGACAGATTCAATGATCTTAATTATTGGGGGGTTATCTTATGATCAGGGTCATCTTATATTTAAGTAAATATGGTATTTTGCATGGTTTATTTTACAAAAACCTTGGGGTATCTGATCAAATTGGCTCATTCATCATGTGGAAGTGAACTCTAAACTTGTGCTTTGTTACTGAGGCTTTAAAAATTTATTTCTGAAGGAGCTTTGCAGGAAAGAGAGGAGTGTTATTTCCTTTTTCTGCTATTTCTTGTATCCAAAATTCTACAGTGATACTTTAACCACACTAAAATTCTGTTGCAAGCTTTGAAAGTATCCTTTTTTGTAAGTGTCTGCACTACAGGTAAGAGCAAGGGGCTGAAGCTGGTTGGAGAAATGTAGTTTCAACCTATGCTTCTCATTGCTGTGTCTAGGAGGTTTAACCATAGATCAGGACCCCATTGTTTTAGGTTCGTTATATTATTCAGAATTGACATGTTCATAATGAATTAGAGGTTAATTGGACATGGTCCTTGGCCTAGTTAATGTTCATCATGGGCTGCATTTTTACTGCAAAAGTCTGCTACATGCACAGAGCTATTTGGAAGTAAATGTCTAGTGGATACAAGTCACCAGTAGCCTTTATTTCAATGGGAGTAGTCAAGGTAAACCCTGAGTCGGGTTTAAGATGTTTTAATATACAAATAGAAACATGTTCCAACAAGCTTGAAATGTAGTCTAGACATGTCAGTCACAGTGCAGGGAAGATGTTGAGAAGGACAAGGATTGAAGCAATGATTAAATGGTTGCTTAGTTTAGATATATCTGTGTCTTTGTTGGCCAAATAATTTTTAACCCAGGAATTATTATTGCAGACTCTTATTGTGCCCATTACAGAAGCAGCTTTAAGGAATGAAGAGAGGGGTGTACCTGGATGGTCCAGTCAATGGACAGCACTGACTGAGAGTGATATAGGAAAGAGACATGGAGATAGTTGGTGGAGAAAGACAGATGGGGTATCAGGGTAGAAGCAATTACTACTGTTATGACAACACAATAAAAGGCTATTTTAGTTGTGTCCTAGAAGGCAGAAAGGAAAGCTTAAACCTGATCCGGGAAAAGGGGAACCAGTGAAGTTGTTCAGAGAAGGAATATGAAGTTGTTGGATCTAGCCTGATAACTTTGGGAAGTGTTTTTTGATGGGATGAAAAGGAAATGTTTCAGGGAAGCTTTTGATGAAGAGGTTAGAGGATAAAGGAGGATTGGACATATGAAAGAATACATATTCAGATGGCCAACTATTAAGACAGTCAACATGTATGCCTCAGCTGAACTTGAATAAGTTAAAGTATGGTAAGGGGCCTGGAAAACAAGAGTTAGAGGAAAGTGTGAAAGAACAAGAATATTTAGTCAGAGGAATAGAAGGCTGAGTGGGGATTTGATAAGAATGTTCAGATACTTGAAGGGGTGTGCTTATAAGAAGGGGAGGGACTATTCTTTGTGGCTATAGAGACATGGCTAGATCTCAGTCTCAAACTACGGTAGATGAAATTTAAGTTGAAGATTAAGAAGAACTTGTTTGCTATAGGATGGTTAAGCATTGGAACAGGCTACCTAGAGTGGTTGGTAATTCCAAGGTTGGAGATTCCACAAGAGCAGATTCAACAGGCACATGACTGATGGTTTTTGTCAGGGATGATTTTGCCTTGAGCAGGGGATTGGACCAGATGACTACCTGATGTCATCTATGGTGGTTCTGTGAGTGATTCCAGTACCCAACTCAAATTATTACTGGCCCAAGGATAGTGATATTAAGCAGCATACTGTGGACAGCATTGTACTTTGCTCCCCTTGACAGCCTCGGTTTTTAATGCCTGTGTTTCTGAGTGCCATTAAAAGGTCCTGCATGCAGCATGCTGCCCATGAGATGTGTACTGTTCTGTTATAACTATGACAGCCTGTACATTATTATACCAACAGATTGATTCAAAACTGGAAATATGAACTGGTGAAGAACAATTGAACATTTGTGCAATGTCATTTAAAACAGTTCTAAAATGAGCTGCTGCATTTTTTTATTTGCCAGAGTAGAGTCAGTGATTTTCATTCACAAGGTGCCTTGCCTGAAATGCCAAGTGCCAGGAAAAGCTGGGGCAGTGTGAAGCTGGGATTGGAGCTGCAGTGAAATTTGGGGTGGCTGCAGCTTCCTCCTAGGGTCGCTGAAGCCTGCTCTGAGCCCAGCTCCGGCAAGAGAGCCGGTGCTGCACTGGGCTTTTTGCTCCATCCAGCATCTGCTGACCGCCCCGCCCTGTGCAGATCCAGGGGCACTCCACCCTCCTGGGGTGCAGGCAGTGGCAGTGGCACCTCTGTCCTGTGGGGGGGCCCCTGCCCTGGCTGGGCAGTGCCTGCCCCCTCCCTCACCATGGAGGGGCATTGATGTGCACCCCCACCCCATGCTCCTTCCCTCCCTCCTCCCCCTCCAACTTACCAGCTGGAAGCAGCTCTCCATACTGCTGGCTCTGCTCTGTGTTGCGGATTTATTGGCCAAACTATTGGCCCCATCAGGCTGATATCCAATATAGACAATTTTCTTTATATCGGTTCTGATCCAATATTGGGCTGATGTATCAGTGCGCGTCTAGTTTATAGCATTGTAGCTTTTTTGTTGCCGATGATTGCATGATTCAGAAGTATAGTACACATCCTTCCATGTATAATCACAGGTCCAACTGAAACCCAGTTTACGTATCACTTCTCTTTTTGCTGCAGTGTACATTACCTAGA